AATGAAAGAAAATATCACAGACAGTTATGGGCTAGAGATGTATGCCTTGCAGGTTTACATGCCTGGGAGCAGCTTGGGAATCTATCTATATACTTTATAAGTGCCATTGTTTAGATTTGTATTTTGCTACAGATATAAAGTGGAAAACACTCCAAAAACCTCTCTGCTAGGAAGATTTTTCTTGCCTATTATTAGCACTCTGCTTTTGCAGCAAGTGCTCATGAGCCAATATGCAGAGTTTTAAAGGACTTCAAAGTGTCATTGGGAACCAAGTGATATGTGTGTTAAAAAGGGTTTAATGGAGCTGCAGTCACTGTAGCACAGTGTCTTTTTATAGCAAGTTTTTACAGCTTTAAGAAAAACATCCTGCAGATTTCAGTAGGATGGGCATATGGATAAGGTACTTTGCACTATGATTTTTGTTTATCTGCTATTAAAAAAAAAAAGAAAGAAGAAAACTCCCATTGCTAGCTAGAGGGAGAATGTTTTTTTTGCAGGAATGGATCTGTAAAATTCAGGCAAAAGCTACTACCTCTATTTTGGGTTTATGATTTTTTCTTCTTTTAGAAGAAAAAGCATACATTTGGAAGCCAATGGCTTGGTTTAGAGAATGGAGATATGCAGTGATTTTTATTCACATTGAAGCTTTTAACAGGTTTTTTTTCTCTCTCTTTTTGAACTGCTTAGCAGTTCTACAAACACATGCAACATTTCTTTTCCCCCAGGCCCACTGGATTATACTATCAGTATCACAAGCCAAATTCTGCTTATCAAAGTTGAGTCAAACTTTCTGGGATTGTCTTTGAAAATGTAATAGGTCAAGCTCCAACAGAAAAGGAGTGGTTTGCAAAAAAAAAAAAAGCACATTAAATGCTAAAGCTGACCTGATCCCTCTGTAGTCATCTTGATCTGCAGGGATGTCTGAAGATTTGGCAGGGTCACACTGAATTTAATGTACTTTCTATTTCTTCTTTTCTGGCACCATTTCCCAGTCTCCTTAAATTACGCCTGGGAAGCATGTAAGGATGCCAAACGACCCAGGCCCTTCGTTGCCCCTTTAGCAACCCATGGAGACAGGCTGCCCACTTCTCAAAGAGCCAGGCAAGGATTAGAAGGGAAAAACCAGCACCCGTGGCCTGCTGTGGGGGTAAGAGACTTGCCCAAGCTCATGCAAAAAGGCAGAGGCAGAGATGGGATGTAGCTTTGGCCCTCCCGTTTCTCAGCCCTACGTCGTATTCTTACAGCCATCCTGGGATTTGGCTGTTTGGGCTTGTTCCACCTCTGAAGCAACGTCATATAAACATGTTGTACTCTCTGCTTTTGCTTCAGGCTGGGGAACGACGGGTTTCTGCCTTGTCTGGGGGAATATTAATTAAAAAAAAAAAAAAAAGACAGGGAAACCTTTAGTCACCATGACTGCCAAGGCATTAAAAGATCAGGATTTTTCCAGCCTCACAGGCAGCTGGAGGCTGCAAACAAACTCACTCGAAGCTGTTGAGAGCAGAGTTTCAGCTCCTGCTGCTGTCCTTACGCTGGCAGCTGCCTCCTGTTCCCCCCAGCTCAAACCCGGCAGAACTAACGCCCCGGCAAAACCCCAGTGTGGGACCCCAGTCCTCCCACCACCCACAGCTCCCGCCCCAACTGCCTCTTTCTTTTATTCCTCACACCTGGTCCTTCTAAACAGAAAACCCTGGTCAAAATTCTTCTAGAAGCAGCCGGAGATGTTTTTTTTCTTGTCTGCAGAAGAGGGCAGAGGAGCGATGGTGAGAAGGGGAAGGGTTTGTGGGGTTGGTTGGTTGGTTTTTTTTCCTCCTTTTTGCAACACTAGTTGTTCAGGGGAGTGTCTTACGTTATTAATGCTGAGTGGCTCCGGCAGCTACTGTGGTTTAAGGTCGTTAGTCATCTGCTGCAACTGCAGGAGTCACGGAAGCCAGAGCTCTTCATGCAACCCACTTGGTCCTCCCAGGCCAGCAGGTTGGGAAGAACTGCATATGGGGCATTGGGGGCAGAGGTGGGTGTGGAGAGCAGCCCAGGGCCATTTGGGGCATCCGCCCCTGGAGAGTCACAGGGTACCACGTGCCCAGGATTCTCTGGGTTGTGCTGGGTGGCTGCACAGCCACCCTGAGTGGCCCGAGAGGATCTGAGGGGCATGTGAAGGGCAGGGGCCAGGGGAGCACTGCCATGTGCAACTGTAGGATCTTCCATGCACCCCGTGAGAGGGCAGGTGTGTGTCCTGTCTGGGAAGCAGCCCCTGCCTCACACACAGCTACACAGGCGTGTGAACTTCATTTCTCCTCAAGCTGCTAATGAGACGAGGATACAGGATGCTCCCTGACCATTAAGGGAATCCAGGTCCACATGCGCCCTTCCCTCCTGATTCCTTCCTTTCTTTCCTTCCCTAGGATGAGGGGGTCTAGGAAAACATTCCTTAATTTATTCTGCATCCTCTGGCTCCCACTTCTGCTGAAGGCTGCCTCTTCCTCCCCTCTGCCCCATGGAAATGACTCGCTGCCCCCTGCACTCCCCTCCAGGCTGTACAAAGGACACACCTGTGTAGGTATCACTCGAAGCTGTTGAGAGCAGAGCTTCAGCTCCTGCTGCTGTCCTTACGCTGGCAGCTGCCTCCTGTTCCCCCCAGCTCAAACCCGGCAGAACTAACGCCCCGGCAAAACCCCAGTGTGGGACCCCAGTCCTCCCACCACCCACAGCTCCAGCCCCAGCTGCCTCTTTCTTTTATTCCTCACACCTGGTCCTTCTAAACAGAAAACCCTGGTCAAAATTCTTCTAGAAGCAGCCGGAGATGTTTTTTTTCTTGTCTGCAGAAGAGGGCAGAGGAGCGATGGTGAGAAGGGGAAGGGTTTGTGGGGTTGGTTGGTTGGTTTTTTTTCCTCCTTTTTGCAACACTAGTTGTTCAGGGGAGTGTCTTACGTTATTAATGCTGAGTGGCTCCGGCAGCTACTGTGGTTTAAGGTCGTTAGTCATCTGCTGCAACTGCAGGAGTCACGGAAGCCAGAGCTCTTCATGCAACCCACTTGGTCCTCCCAGGCCAGCAGGTTGGGAAGAACTGCATATGGGGCATTGGGGGCAGAGGTGGGTGTGGAGAGCAGCCCAGGGCCATTTGGGGCATCCGCCCCTGGAGAGTCACAGGGTACCACGTGCCCAGGATTCTCTGGGTTGTGCTGGGTGGCTGCACAGCCACCCTGAGTGGCCCGAGAGGATCTGAGGGGCATGTGAAGGGCAGGGGCCAGGGGAGCACTGCCATGTGCAACTGTAGGATCTTCCATGCACCCCGTGAGAGGGCAGGTGTGTGTCCTGTCTGGGAAGCAGCCCCTGCCTCACACACAGCTACACAGGCGTGTGAACTTCATTTCTCCTCAAGCTGCTAATGAGACGAGGATACAGGATGCTCCCTGACCATTAAGGGAATCCAGGTCCACATGCGCCCTTCCCTCCTGATTCCTTCCTTTCTTTCCTTCCCTAGGATGAGGGGGTCTAGGAAAACATTCCTTAATTTATTCTGCATCCTCTGGCTCCCACTTCTGCTGAAGGCTGCCTCTTCCTCCCCTCTGCCCCATGGAAATGACTCGCTGCCCCCTGCACTCCCCTCCAGGCTGTACAAAGGACACACCTGTGTAGGTATGTATTTAGGTTTTGTTTGCCTGCTGGACTTGTTCATTTCTTATCCCACTCATGAGCTGAGAATTGCTATGCACATCACTCCTTTATCTATTTCAGCTGCTGTCCTGCAAAATATGCCTAGTCTTTGGTGAAATATTCGCTGAAGATTTTGCAAGGCCAGCATGGGGTCTGGAGTTACTTTATGATTTTGTTTTTGAGTGGCTGCTTCTCAAAGTTCACGTTTTTGCTCTTTGGGGAACGGGATCTGAAAAGCTGGCTCTAACTTCTGTAAGTCTGAGACCTGGAAACAAGATGTTATGGGGTCCTAGGATTTGTTAGGGTTCATGATGCATTTACCTTAACTGCAGGAAACCAAGGTTTCCTTCAGATTCACTCAGGGTCTCCTCATTGATTTCATTGCCTGGTAAACTGTATTTAAGAATAGTTGGTCCATAGATGGGCCAGAGAGCTTTGTGGTCTGGGTAGTGAATTCAGGATAGCCAAGTTGCAAGGGCTCTTTCCTCACATTTCCTTTCCTTTTCATAAATATGCATCTGCATTTCCCATACAGATGTAGGGCAAGTGTGTTTTGGCAACCCCTTCTTGTGTGACATTGGTGACAGTGGTGATCTCCACAGCAGCTATACCTTGGGCTATCCTATAGCCTCAGCTGACCACATGATTCCAAAAGTAAGATCAGTAACAGTAAAGTCAGCATGAACTGTGGGTATCTCCACACCAGAAATACCCTTAATGTGAGACTCTGTATGCCTAAAGAGATGTGGTAGCTTATATTTTTATGTGAGCAAATGTTAAATTACAGTTATGTCTTATGCATCATGATCTAAAGTTTTATTTTGTCTTCTTTTAGCTTTCCAGGGCACTTCCATGCTCTAAGTATAAACTCTCTCATGGTTCTCCATTCTTCAGAAGGGAAGTCAGCCCAAGATCATTTTCTATGTGGCTCAAGGGATGCAATTAGAAATAATATTCCTAATCTTGATAAAAGCAGTTTTCTGCCTCATTTCTGAGCCATTCACAGTGCCCCTGCAGATTTTGGTGCTGGCAAGGCAGGGTGAACTGAAAGACAAGCAAAGTCAGGGTGGTGAGGCTTGCACAGCCCCTGTCAGGGCTCAGCCACCAGCCAGAAAATAAGAGTGAGTGGAGAAAAGCAGAAATGGTTGTCAGGGACTAGCCTGGTTTGGGCTGGCAGCCACACAAGCAGTGACTGAGCAGCTGCCAGAAGTGGTGGTGGGTGTTAATGGTGAGATCTTTAGGCAGCTATGGTTTTAATGACACAGGAAAGGTGGTGAGTGTGCTCACCTGCAGGGATTTTACACTAGTGTTTTTTAACTAAGTGTGAGCACTGTCTGCCTTTTCCATCCTATTGATCCATCAAGTCTTTAAATTCCTAAACTGGCTGCACATTGCATTGAAGGTGCCTTGTACAGGATAAACTGTGCTTTTTTCCCCCCTCCTAAAGGGAGAAAAGGTGTGCCAGCCCCGTTGCTGGAACCACCAAGCATTCATTAGCATGTTTGTTCAGTAAGGAGACATTTAAAAACCTGCCTCTCACACCATTTGCTCTCTCTGAGGTGTCCTTTCATCTAAAAGCATTGACATGAGCTCAACTCAGGACAAAACCAGGCTGCCCACACCTCTGTGAACAGCAAGCTAAAAATGAAACATTCAGAGCATTAAAACTGCACAGGCCAGACCTGGGAAGGAAGTCTGGTAACTGCAGTAGCCCAGCCAGCCACTGCTGGGGTTTCACTGGTTAGCTGCAGTCTTGACTAACTCTCGAAAACACTGACAAACCACTTGTGTTCTCTTCCTTTTCACAAGGAAAAACACAGAGGAGCTGATGGTTACACTTGCTGTGGCACGGAGCAGGGGTAATGTCAGTTCTTGCAGATCATTTGGTGACCAGCCTTCTTAGGACCACAAATTAAGGCAAGATCAGCTTCATCAGTAGGAGGAAGACTCTGATTTCCTTTCAACAGCTCAACCCCAGGCCTTGCTAGCTGTTTTCCATCTGGCAAGACATAGGGAGAAAGCCATGAAAACTTCCTCTGTGTCTTTTGGTCTTACCAATCGAGGCAGCATTTTTAGCATGAGAAATGCCAATTGCTAAATTTATAGGAGATTTTCTTGAAGAAATGGACCTTTGCATGCAAGTTAAATGTGTGGTCACATGTCTAATCTTGCAAGGTTATTTGCCTCTCTTTTCTGAGGGAAATGAGGTGGCTCCACATAGTCGTTCTAATCACTGAATAGTCACTTCTGATCACTGTACCAGCTGTATGATTGAGATTGCTATATTAATAGCCAAAGCCAGGCAGAAACTGGCTTCCTTTTCAATAAGAAAACCAAGAAAATATTAAGCCTTTGCACTGAAAACACCACAGTTCTTGAAGAATTATGTAGAAATTATATGACAGGAGACTGAAATGCAGCTCTGGTACCTCCATTGAATGTGATACAACTTGGTTGCTTCCATCTTCCATTCCCCCTGCTAGCACCACTCCCAGGATAGGCACCATCTGCCCCAGTATAGTCTGGTTGTACTGGGAAGGCAGCTGGATGCTTCAAGGGCCTCCCCCACCCTTAGCAGATTCTGGGAAATGTATTTTATGTTGGCACCTATATGCCAATATAGAGCAGGGCTGGAGGAGAGGAGGGTACAGGTCCAGTGAGGTGCCACAGCAGGCTGAGCAGTTCAGACAACTCATAGGAGGAAGCTGGCTAAAACATTTCTTCTTTCAAATTGTTACTTGTAGAAAAAAGAAGGTGACTTTTTGATGGCAAACATAGTTGTGTTAGAAAACATTTAGACAGAAGTCTTAATCAGCTTCAATAACTACAGGGGAAAAAAAATCACATCATTTTTGCTACATTTTATTGAAGAATTTGGCTGCTTCATTCAGAGGAATTATTTTCATAATTGACTTGGTATAAAAATTAAGAATATGGAAATTGTTCCCACCTAAAAAGATGTAACACTGCTGCCTTTTAGAATTATGGAAAAGAGGGGGAAAGAATCTAATTATAATCATCTCAGCCACAAGAGCATCCAACTATCTCCAACCTCCATTTAAATAGACACATAGTCTCTTTTTGGCCCTGTCACTAGAAGAATTTTCCCAACGTATGACAGTCTCTTTTCTCCATCAGTGGGGAATTGTAGACCAGTCAGTTAAATGCAGCTCTGGTACCTCCATTGAATGTGATACAACTTGGTTGCTTCCATCTTCCATTCCCCCTGCTAGCACCACTCCCAGGATAGGCACCATCTGCCCCAGTATAGTCTGGTTGTACTGGGAAGGCAGCTGGATGCTTCAAGGGCCTCCCCCACCCTTAGCAGATTCTGGGAAATGTATTTTATGTTGGCACCTATATGCCAATATAGAGCAGGGCTGGAGGAGAGGAGGGTACAGGTCCAGTGAGGTGCCACAGCAGGCTGAGCAGTTCAGACAACTCATAGGAGGAAGCTGGCTAAAACATTTCTTCTTTCAAATTGTTACTTGTAGAAAAAAGAAGGTGACTTTTTGATGGCAAACATAGTTGTGTTAGAAAACATTTAGAGAGAAGTCTTAATCAGCTTCAATAACTACAGGGGAAAAAAAATCACATCATTTTTGCTACATTTTATTGAAGAATTTGGCTGCTTCATTCAGAGGAATTATTTTCATAATTGACTTGGTATAAAAATTAAGAATATGGAAATTGTTCCCACCTAAAAAGATGTAACACTGCTGCCTTTTAGAATTATGGAAAAGAGGGGGAAAGAATCTAATTATAATCATCTCAGCCACAAGAGCATCCAACTATCTCCAACCTCCATTTAAATAGACACATAGTCTCTTTTTGGCCCTGTCACTAGAAGAATTTTCCCAACGTATGACAGTCTCTTTTCTCCATCAGTGGGGAATTGTAGACCAGTCAGTTAAAAAACAATCCTTAGAAAAATCCTGCAGTAGTTAATAAAAATTTATAAAAACACCTTTCAAAAATAAATCTGAGTAAGAATCTCACTGCATTTATCAAGGAGAAACAGTGTCAGATCAATCTAATTTTCTTTGCTGATTGGATAATGGCATGCAGAGCAGAGGAAGTAGTTGATGTTTCAGCTGGACTTCAGTAAGGCTTTTGGCACCATCTCAGCACTAATCTAATGGCTGAGAGATAAGTCACACTGATTAAGCTTCTACAGGGCAGGACAAAATCAGAAGAGGGTCTTGTTCAGAGAATTGTTACAAGTGGCTCAGTCCCTAAGCAGAAGGACTTACAAAACAAGGTCTTTCTTGGACCTCTGTTTTGACCATAGTTTCATCCCATATTTTCATTAGCCAAGAGTATGAAATAGTGCACTATTAAATTAGGGACTCATATAAACCTGAAATGGTTTGCAAGTGCAATGGAGGGCAGGATTAAATTCAAAACAATCTTGCAAACTTGGAACACTTGCTTCCCCAAAAGATCATTTCAATATGGGTGTGTTGAAGGCACTTCAGCAGAAATAACCACAAGTAGTGGATGAGGAACAGCTGGCTGGGAAGCATCCCTAGGGAAGATCATCAGGGACAATGATGGCATGTTGTCACAAAGAACACAGACACTGCCTGCACTAAGATGAGTGAACAAAAGTTAGCTTGCAAAACATCTAGGGTAACCTGTTACCTTTCTCAGCACTGACAGAGCCTCAGAGGAATTGCTGTCTTCCCTTATGGGGCTGTGCATCAGGAGTGGTGCCTAGTGACAGGAGGTTTCAGAGAAAAACAAAAAAAGTTATAAAGAAAGACTGAATAAATTAGTCAGTTAGTCTACAGAAGAAAAACTTGAGAGAAAGACATGATGTCTGTCCCAAAAAACATTAAAGGGGTGATCTGTTCTCCAGGCCCATAAAAACTATGGCAAGAAGTAACAGAAATGGATACCAGTAGGGACACTCAAGTTAGGAAGAAAGTTTTTTAATGGTAGTGATCACTGCGCACTTCCAGTTCCTGAGAAGGCTGTAG